GTGAGACCCGTGAGACCAACATTTTACACTTGAAACTTCACAGCAAAATGCTGTGAATGTGACTTTTTAAAACCTTCATAGTGTTTTTGCTGTGAAGGTTCGACATTTTTTAAACCTTCACAGCGTTTTTGCTGTGAAGGTTACGTGTAAAAATATGGTCTCACGGGCCTCACGAAAACAGGCTGGTCTCAAGAAATCATCTATCAAATGGCCGTAATCATCATGAAAGTCGCACCACTTTGACTTGTCTATCTTATTGCTAGGCCTATCGCTCTTTATTGGCCACCTGATCGTAGACGGGACGTTCCTCAAAGTATTGATTAGATCTTTGTCGTTCCCTTAAATCCATACGTCGAAACCTTTGGATGTTGTGGGAATTTTGAAAAGGTCGAACCGTCTCTTTTGTTGTCGTACTGAATGTTTGATATTTGTCATGATTGTTCATACTTAGGAACGGTCTTGACTTTAAGTTCTGGCTTCTTGACACTCAGGGGTTTCTTGTCGTGAAGATGTTTGCATCGAAAGTTGGGTCATCTTCGACATGCATACACTACAACAAAAAGGGGTTTATATGACACTTTTTTGGGACACTTTTCGAAAACCGTCCTTTAAAAAGGCTAATACGACACATTATTTTATGAGTCCTATTTGACTTAATCTTATAGGACTCTTACTTTTGATGTCTTATTAACATATCTTGACGTCCTATCATGTAATCTAATGCGACACTTTTAAATGTCATATTATTTTATGGTCTAATAGGACACTTTTAAGTGTCGTATTATTTTAAAGACCAACATCTTATTTTAAATGCTAATATGACCCTTTCAATTATCCTATTTTTTTAAAAGCTAATACAACACGGTTGGTTGTCCTATTAGAGATTAAGAGCTAATAGGACACTTTTAAGTGTCCACTAAAGTTTAAAGTTTTAAACTCTTATGAGTTATATAAAATTATAAACTACTTAACTTAAAACAAAAACACTGGGCCAAAATACTTGTTGAAAACCCAAATACTTAATGCAGCAAAAATGGACTTGATGGACCATAAATCYGGTTGGACTTGAAAGCCCAAATACTTGATAAGCAAAAACAGCCCAAATACTCAAATCCGGTTGCGACTTGCGATTGCGACCATCATCGATAGAATCCGGTTGCGACTTGCGATCATTATCGGGAATAGAATCTGTTTGCGATCGATACATCTAAACCCTGAGAATATCAAAGCCTGGTTGTTTGCGATCGACTCCTCTGCACTGTTTGAGATCCGTCAAGCCCTTCGTCTTGGAAGCCCTAGCTGTTCGTCAAGCCCTCGGTTGCAACATTGACAGTAACAAAATCAAACTGACTAGTATTTTTTCTAACTTAAATTTGTAGTGCACTTATGTATTTTTATGTTAATTGTGTTAATATGTAGTAATTATGTTAATTGTGTTAATATGTAGTAATTATGTTAATTGTGTTAATATATAGTAATTATGTTAATTGTGTTAATATGTAGTAACACTGATATCTTAGTATTGAGTTGAAAGTGTGCTTCGATAAGAGTAGCTAACAGGAGGTTATGTATTTTTATTTCTTAAGAATCTCTTATCTGTGCTGAAAAAGTGGCTGATCTATTTGTAAATTTTAGTCAGTTAAATACTTTCAGGGAGCTTGTGAATTTTAGCCATGATAGATATAGAAACAGTAGCCATGATAGTAGACTGTATGGTTCAAACTTATGGATCAATACAGTAGCCATGATAGATATAGAAACAGTCACATGTATATAGATATAGAAACAGTTACATGGTTGTGTGCACAGTAAATTGTTTACAYGGTTGTTGGGAGTATAGCAACATTGGCCAATAGTTTATTGCCATCAATATAAATATGGTTGTTGGGAGTATAGCAACATTGGCCAATAGTTTATGATGAAAATTATATGGTTTTAATATTCTTGATCATTACCTGGTGGTATGTTTGGAGTAGTAAAGAGATATGAAAATTATATGGTTTTAATATTCCTTTACAAAAAAGCAGTTACGCTATGGTCAATGTCCTAAAACTCCCCACCTGAGGCCCCTTAAGAGGCTGTGTAGGTGCTAAGCATCCTCCCACTAGTTAGAGTACTCAGGGCTGCTTAATTTGTTAAATATTAAGCTAGAATTGGTTTCAGTTGAATGTTACAGTAGTTATTGGTGGTTAGTAGTCAGGGCTGCTTAATTTGTTAAAGGGGACAGTTTGTTCTCCTTCCATTCATCCATAAAACAAAATTCTCTATTATGGCATCACAGATTCGGTCACATCAACCTTGGGTACCTAAGCTACATGCAGATGCACAATTTAGTAAAAGGAATACCTGTTATAAGCAAGATAGATGAAATCTGTGAAAACTGCATGATTGGAAAGCAAGCAAAAGAGTCATTTCCTCAAGAAGGAGCATGGAGAGCCTCAAAATCACTTGAACTTATCCATTCTGATATTTGTGGACCCATGAAGAAAACAGGTATATTCTAACCTTTATTGATGATTTTACAAGAAAGTTATGGGTGTACTTCTTAAAAGAAAAATCTGAAGTTTTTGACTACTTCAAAAACTTCAAAGCTTATGTAGAAAAGCAGAGTGGTAATCTGATCAAAACACTTAGATCAGATGGGGGTGGAGAATACAACTCTGTTTATTTCATAGGATTCTTGAAAGAGAACGGAATCCACCATCAAGTAACAAGAAGATACACCCCACAACAATGTTTAGAATAACAATGGAAAGCTTTTTTCTGTTGCAAACCTAAAATTATTTTTTAGCATTGATTATGTTTATGTGGATCTTTGATTAGAAATAGCAACTGATTGGCTTCTTGGACAAAGAAATAAAATACACTGTGAGCGAAAAGGTACGTACTTACTGCAGACTTAATCAAAACTAAAGCTTAAAGCTCAATATTCTGTTTCAACTGCATATCCTGTTGTGCGACAACATACTATGTAATTCAATAGTTACTATTTGAACATATGCATTAGATTACCAAGTGTTACTTGAATTATTAGTTCATTTCTTTGTTTCTGTTGCCCTAGTTTTACTATGTTTTTATTTGTTCCAACCTAAAAAAGATTTTGCAGTACTATATAACAAAGACTAATGCTGCATAAACTGATATATGCAAAGAATATACAAAAAAGCAGTTACGCTTATAGTGGATAGGACATGTTCACATGTAGTATATAGAAGTCTAAGCAGCAACCATAGGATATAGCACCATTAATTTATCTATTAGAAAACTTTTTATTTGTTTCAACATCTGTTATATTTTTTTTTTACATTTGTCTATTAGAAAACTTTTTTGTGAATTTGCTTGTTTTCATAGATATATAATTTATCCACTTCTAGCTTATAGCCTTATATGTCATTTTCAGAAAATCAGTGAAAGAAATAAGACTAGTAGTGGATATAAGAAGATGATGCAAATTACAGGGAAAAAAAGTTATGCTCGAGTTTGTGAAGAACTAAAGGTAATGTAGTTGATGTAATATGCATATGTATTTACCTAAATATATATCTGGGTTGTTACAGGAATCTTTGTCAGGACGTGAACCTAGTCGAATGGAGTTGTTTGTTGCATGTTTTTCTAAAGACGGCATTGCCAAAAATGTCGAAGCTGCAAATGCTATTGTATGTTATATTTATAATTTGTCAATTACATATGCAAGTTTTACTTGAACTATAGACTAGTTTTCACAAGTTTTATCATATTTGTTAGTGATAATTTATTTGACTATAGGAACAAATGCTAGACCTTAACTTTCAACTTCCCGAAGGCTCACTTGATGAGCCGGGGCCTAATGATGTATTCTCGAAAGTGATGGGAAAAGACAAACATGGCAGCGCTCGCATGTATGGGCTAGGTGTTAGAGGTTCAGATATATGGGGTGTCTTGCCAAGTCGCTCTGCCTGTTATAGGGAGAACACGTTGTGGAAAAGAGCATATAAAGATGTTAGCAATGAAGTAGCTGAGCTGAAAACTATGGTATTAGAGATGCGAGGGTCAAAYGAAAATATTTCTAGTACTTCAAGTGTTCCCATGACATCAATAAATCGTCAAGCTACCACCGAACTTCAACCTCTAAAGGTACGTGTCTTTCTAAAACTTAATAAAATCAAGTGTACTTCAAGTGTTCCCGTGCTTTTTTTTATTAAAATCTTAGAATCTTAGAATCTTGTTTTTCAATCATGTTTTTGTAGGTTGGGGATGTTGTTCATCTTAAGAGCATCATAAATTCCATGGAAATTGTGGCAAGAGGACGTGTTAAGAGCTTAGATCCAGATGAATTGGTTGGTGGCGAGGAGATTGGTCCGAATTGGTGTGAGGTACATGTTTTGGTTGCTATAAGAAGGAGGGAACGTTTGGTTAGGCCATATGRATTGTTTATTACAATTGAAGAYGCTATTGGAGCAACAATCGCATGGCCTTGTCCTTTCACTRTGGTATGTTAATCTTTGATAAAGTGTAYAATTTTTTTTATTATATAACTTTAAGCTCATATATCTGTTTTTWAWTTGTAGGTTGTGCATGACGGAGATTGATATCTCTAGGGCACAAAAAGAKTTTGTATTTGCGTTATTCTTTTTCGTTACATAGCTTGGTAGTTGATACTTGATACTCATATAAATGCTTGTACAACTTCGAATTTTGTTCTATCGAATCACTCTCGTATATGCTTCTAAATGTAATATTACAGTAGGAGTTTATAATTGGATGATGCGTCTCGCATTATAGTCATTTAGGACTCTTGTAGTATTAATTATTATAACCTATTAGGACACTTTTTTAGTATTACTTAGTTCATTTTATAGGACACTAAAATTTGTTTCATAAAAACATTTTTTGGGACATTGAATTTCGTCTTATAAAAACATTTTTTGGGACGCCCATATTTGTTTCTAAATGCAAAAATTTTGTGAAAACATAAAGTGTCCTATATTATAGTTTATTAGGACACTTTTAGTGTTACTTAAACCATTTTATAAGACTATGGGTTTTGTATCATAATCCTAGAGTTTTTTAGGACACTCAAATTCATCCTATTAACCTAATACAACACCTTTAGACGAGACATACACATTTTTTGTCCAATAAACTTAAAAGTCCTATTAACTACCTTATTAGGACACTAATGAGTGTCCTATAAAGCCTTTTTTGTTGTAGTGATATGAGCCAACGTCCTAGCTCGAATGTCTTTAAAAGTCTTAGAAGGATATTTGGTTAGATCCGAGTATAATTCTGAAATGTTGTCTATGCCACGTTTATAAGCTTCAATTATCGTCTGGATGTCAAAAATGTGAATTCCTATCATTTCAGAATTGATACGATTGAAGTAATTTCGCACCGACTCCCCACTTTTCTGCATGACATAGTACAATTCGCTAGTTTGCTTCTCCATCTTGCGACAATGAATTGTTGAAAAAACTGGTTGTCCAACTCGGCAAATGAATTGTTCGACTTTGGTTTTAAGTTGATCAACCATTGTAGAGCGTTTCCAGAGAATGTCGCTACGTTTTTGCACAGGCATACTTCTTGGAAATGATGAGCGATTGATGTCGTCCACATCATATGCTTATATTAAGTGATCTGCTCATTCAAATATCTCATCCCTAAATATTTTGGAGTAAAAGTAGGGATACTATATATCTTAGGTACGTTGACCAACGCAATTGGGTCAGCAAAAGGTGATGCTTGGAATCCTGTGGGTGATTCTACATCAACGGGAACAAGTGATCCTAGAAATTTTGACAACAACGACAACATCTTCTCATTTTGTTCTTCTAATTGTTTTAAACGTAGCACGACAGGATTGTCGTGACCAATGCCATTAGCCACCATTAAGATCGATATTGGGGAGGAATGATGCCCAAACTTTGGGTCGTAAGACCTAATGTTATATGGGGGTTCGGTCGCATGGTTGATTCTATATCATCACCGGATACATGAATATTTGTTATAGGGATTGCTGAAGTCATTCGGAATGATGACATTGTGTAACACCTCAAAATCACATTTACATATAAACATATATTTTCATATATCAAGAAATACAACTTTACACATTCCGTCCTAATATCTACACAATGCTACATACAACAGTAGCTACAAAATTTTCCACAAAAACCCTATACAAAACTTGTATACATAATAAATATTCAAATACAAAAGATAACACATTAACCCAACATCCCATGCTAACATTTATAAATTCTTCGCAAATTTTCTTTCCCCTTATCATCCGGTTGTGCCTGGTTTGTAATGCACATTTCAAAATACAAATGAGAGTTAGACCGTGAAGTCTAGTGAGAAATCCATTTGTTTGCTATTATACCAAAACACTTTTATACACTCATATTTATATCAATGACAAATAAGCAACATTTTAATAAAACAAACATTTTTTGTCGCATCAAAAGGATGAGACATTATCCAATTATAGCAACAAATATCCAAATAACTCATTTATTGCATTATGATAAAACCCATCGCATCATATAGGTAAAATCATAAATTTCTCGCATCACATGGATGAGACAGCCTCATTTCCTCGCAACACACTGGTGCGAGGATCCCCTCTCATCGCATCACATTGGTGTGATAAACTCAACTTGTTGCATCAATAGGATGCGATAAGTTAATCTTGTTGCATCACAAGGATGCGACAACACATACTCCTCGCATCACAAGGATGCGATAAAAGCCATTCATCGCATCAATAGGATGCAAAACTCAAGTCATCGCATCACACAAATGCGATAACTCAAACTCATCGCATCATAAGGATGCGACAACAGTTAACAACATGATCAAAAACCAGTTTTTTACATACGGTTGATTATGCCACCCTTATCCTGGTACACCTCTCCTTGATATGACACCTTTATCTCAAAATACACCTCTAAAGATCATGTCACCCTTATTCCAATCATTTGATACAAACATATCAAAATACCAAAATTATGCTAAACATAGCATAAAAACAGTTTTTATAACTTCCCCACATAATGAACCCTATGGTTCCAATCCAACAATAAGATGAAAGTTTGTAAAATAAATTCACCTTATAGAATCACACATAAATGCTTATATGAAGATGAACAACAACGAATTCAATTAAGAATCACAGAATTTGACTTCTACTTCTTCCCATTTTTGGTTTCTATTTACTCCAGCACCAAAACATACACACATAAATTTTTCATCAACTTTTAACAAACCCTCATGAGATAATTAATATATCTCATCATATAACCATATAAACAAATGAGGCGGTGGGACTTTTAAAATGATATAAGCATATTACCAAAATAACCCCATTAACTTACCATCAATAATAAAAAACAACCTGAACTTTTATAACCGATTTAACCTGTTATCACACATTGGGAAAGAAGTATTTGTAGGTATGAGAATTGATGGGATAGGCATCGATGGAATTCCCATTGATGGGGGCGGAGAAAATATCAGTAGTTGCATCAAGGGTGACGGTGGAGGCAATTGCACACTGCTTGCTGCAGGAAAGCTCGGGGTGAAAAGGAGGATTAAAAGGAGGTCTTGCTATCAATAGGGCTGTAAACGAACCGAACGTTCAGCGAACCGTTCGTGAACCGTTCGGCGGGAAGTTCGTTTATGTTCGTTTATTTAATAAATGAACGAACATGAACAATTTTTTTTGTTCGTTTAGTTAAACGAACGAACATGAACAAGAGTCTTGTTCGTTCATTTATGTTCGTGAACGTGCGTTCATTTATGTTCGTTAACGTTCGTTCGTTTATGTTCGTTTATGTTCGTTTATTTATTAATTTTAATATATAATTTTTATTTATTTAGTTTGAATTTAAATTTTAAAACATTTTTATTTGTTGGGCTTTTAAAAGAGTTTAGGCTTTTTAATATTGGGGCTTTTTGTAGGGTTTTGTTGGTGTGGACTGTGGTCGATTAGGGCAGAAGCGAAGGGGATAAGCGAGAAGCGAAGGGGTGTGGTCCGTGTGGAGTGTGGTCGTCGATTAGGGCAGAAGCGAGTTAAACCGTGCTGTAGCCTGTAGATCAATCGCCAATCGTGAAGCTATACTAGGTATGTAACCGTATGTAGCCATCTCTTCTTCGCCTCTTCGGTAATGGTATGTAACCGTATGTAGCCATCTCTTCTTTGGTATTCGTTTCGGTAACTTGAGTTGATACGAGAGGTATTCGTTTCTAGTATTGCTGTTCTTTGGTATGTAACCGTATGTAGCCATCTCTTCTTTGGTATTCGTTTAGGCTCTTAACGAGAAACATTTCACAGTGAACAGGATATAAATGTTATGGCTTAATTGTTCAATGGATCAGCTGCTATTGGTGGAAGAAGCATGGTAGGCACGAAAAAGAAAATGGAAGAACTTTGTTTTCATAAATGTTAGATTTGTAAATGAGTGGTAACTGTTAAATCAAGTGATCATATATTAGAAGGAAGGAATATTAGAACTTGGTTACATTAGAAGACAACATATCATTATATATGTACAAGTACCATAGCCACATATGTACAACTATAGATTTAGAAGGAAGGAATAGTAGAAAAACTGCTAGGCCCCTACTTATTTTCTTGCTTTTTTGCGCCGATCAGAGCTAGTAATATACAAAATTATATATCTTAAACCAATTTTCATTTGCTTTTTATTTTTTATGTTTCATGTGAGTTGTCGTTCTCATCCTCTTGGAACATGAAGCCCTGCTGCGTTTTCATTTGCTTTTTATTTGCTGGCTAAAACTCATTTTTATTTAAAATGTTTTTTTGCATTTTGTAGATGTCGGATGTCTCCTGTAGCGGTCCATATTTCTTTCATGATGATTTATATTTAGATCGGATGCAATCGCCTCAAGAACTTGAATCAACGGAAATTGAATCAAGTGCAAACACATCAAGAATGGAAAGTACTCCCGAAATGGTTGTTATCGGATCGAATGATGGAGACGACGTTGTAGCAGCCGTTGATGGTGGTATAGAAAAGACCAACATAGTCAACAATGAAGAATCTACTCCATATGCTAAAAGGAAAAGAAAGAAGACTTCAGGAGTTTGGGAACATTTTCGCTTGGTGAAGTTGGCTACTGGAACTGAAGTTTGTGAGTGCATCCATTATGGTGAGAAGATAAAGAAACTTAAAGATGGAACCACCACACCATTGCATAGGCATATTACTGATTGCCCAAAGTTAAAAGCCGTCAACACCATTCATCCAGGTCAGTTAAAGTTAAAGGTTGTGCCGGGGAAATTAGATTCTTCTATGATCCAAAACTGGAAATTTGACAATAGTAGGATTAGAGAGGTTGTTTCTCTTATGATTATGGTTCATGAGTTGCCATTTAATTTTGTTGAGTATGAACTATTTAATRTGGTTATGAAGGAAGCTAACCCCGGGTTTAACAAGATTTCACGTGCATCGGCTAAGCAAGATTGTGTTGCTAGTTATGAAATAGGCAAAAAAAGAATCAAGAAAATGCTAAGCGCTGTCAATCGTGTGAGTATAACAACTGATATGTAGACGTCGGTGCAAAATAT